TTCAACGTTTTGATTTCGTATTTATAATTACAGGGTGTTATAAATATCTTAGTTTACCGGTTTTTCTGCTATGTGTGTGTAAGGGTTAGAAGAACCTTTCTCCTGTTGGTTTATAATACACTCATGGACAACACTTAAGGAAGTTGTACCTTTTAGCATGTATATCGGGATTCAGACAATAACTCTGAAAGATATTACAGTGACCTTTATTGAAGACATACGAGATAAACAAGTGTGAACAAAATTGCCTTGTCTTCTTCTTCTTCTTCTTTTTCTTAAAAAAAAAAACAATATATATAGACGACCAGCGACATCAAAAACTTTCCAATTCCTTAAGTTTTAGCTATGAGTATACATACAAAAACTGTTGTATAAGTATTATGAAAATAAAACTTGAATGATACAAGAACCTGTATCCAAACAAGAATTGAGAGAGAGAGAGATTCAGATTGTAACTACTATATTACAATGGCAATATAAATTTAAGATTAAATATACAATAAATATAAATAGGTAATATCAAATAAAGATAAAAAGATTTTTTAAAATGCAAAATATATATATATATATATATAATTGATGAAGGTACATATATTGTTGCACCAGGTTGCGGCTTGGCAGACTCTTCAGCCTGGATTCTCTCCTGTGCTGGGTCTTGCATCTTACCAGAGCGTGTTTCAACCATCCTACAAATTTATAAAAGGGAATAACGAGATAAGTCTTCTTTAAGTAGCCACCAGAATCATTTATTTATTTTCTCCCATCAAAGAGAGCAGTGAAGTCACAGTGTACCTAAATACAAATGATGATAATCTAAAAATAATCTGTTTTAAATAAATATCATAGAATATAAAAATAAATAAATATATAATTTAAATTTCAAATATATTAAAAATAATATAATAAATACGCCATTAATCATGATGTAACACTTCCCCCTCTCCAGAGGTCGTCACGTCCTCGTGAGTTACCTCATCAATTCTCTCAAAATAGGGTTTGAGTCTTGAGACATGGACAATCAATGGGTCTTGGCCAGGATTATCTTTTGGCTCAATTAAGTAATTTACGTTAGACAGCTTCTTTAATATTCTATATGGGCCAAAATATTTTCTCAGTAGTTTCTCACACTTTCCTATTTTCCTAATTGGTGTCCAAACTGCTACTAATTCTCCTGGTTCGTAGCTTCTTTCCATGTGTTTCTTGTCATAGTTCTTTTTCATTCTTTCTTGAGTCTTTATTGTGTTGTTAATAACTAATTTTCTTGTTCTGTTTATTTTGTCTAAGTGATGTTTTATGTATTCATCATAATCATCTTTGTCAATGTCCACCGAGATATTCCTGTCGTCCAAAAGAGACGTGGGTTCTCTTCCAAACATCAGGAAAAAGGGAGAATATCCTGTGGTTTCCTGAATTGTAGTATTGTAAGCGTGAGTGATGAATGGGAGTATTTCGTCCCAATTTTTCTGATCAGTGTTCACATACATACTGAGCATATTGATCAATGTTCTATTTAACCGCTCTGTCAATCCATTAGTCTGGGGATGATAGCTCGTTGTGAAGCAATGTTTAATCTTGCACGTTTTCATCACCTCTTTCATTAAATTACTGGTAAATTGAGAGCCTCTGTCACTAATAAGATATTGTGGGGCTCCGTGCCGAAGAAAAATATCCTCTACTAGAAATTTAGAAACTTCTTTCACTGTTGCTTCCGAGACTGCTCTTGTTTCTGCATATCTAGTGTAGTAGTCCGTCAGCACGATTATCCATTTTTTCCTGTTTTTCGTAGATGGTAGTGGACCAACAAAGTCAATTCCAATTCTTTCGAAAGGAAAGTTGGCTGGGGGGATGGGCTGTAGTAGTCCAGAAGGTAATTGGTTTGAGCCTTTCCTACTTTGGCAAAGGTGACACGTCTTAACAAATTCTGAGACATCCTTTAGCATGGATGGCCAAAAGTATTTACTCTTTATTCGGTACATGGTTCTGGCGACGCCCAGATGGCCATTCGACATATGATTGTGATATTCTTTCATAATTTCTCTCTTTTTATTCTCTGGAACCACAAGCAACCACGCCCTGCCTTCAGGGTTCGGGTTTTTCTTAAAGAGGCATCCATCTTCTTCTTTAAAGTTTTGCGCAATTGATCGCCTGCTTCCATTAAGGTTTTTCTTAACACTTTCGATAAATTTATCCTCTTCGTCTGTTATTTGATTTAAAAATAGCCTTTCAAAATCCTCATCCCAATCAGTTTCTGGTAAGGACCCCCTAGATAAGCCATCGGCGTCCAGATGCTTCTTTCCCGATTTATGTATTATATCGAAGTCATATTCTTGAATTTTCAATGCCCATCTTGCCAATCGACCTGTTGGATCCTTCAAGTTTTTTAGCCAGCATAAGGCGTGATGGTCTGTTACTATTTTAAAGTGTCTTCCATAAAGGTAGGGTCGTAATTTTGACATTGACCAGACAACGGCCAAACATTCTTTTTCAGTGGTTGAATAATTTTGCTCCGCTTTACTTAGGGTACGACTCAAATATGAGATCACCTTCTCTTCACCACCGATGTCTTGGACAAGTGTTGCACCTATGCCGATGTTGGACGCATCAGTATGAACATAAGTAGGTGCATTTGGATTGAAGTGACCTAAAATTGGTGGACTTAATAGTGCTGTTTTTAGGGTTTGAAACGCTTCCTCTTGTCTTTCTGTCCAGGTAAATGATACACTTTTTTTTATAAGGTTGGTCAAAGGGTCAGCAATTTTTGAAAAGTCTTTGATAAATTTTCTATAATATGAACACATTCCCAAAAAGGATTGTACTTCTTTGACCTTTTTGGGCCGAGGAAAATTTCTGACAGCTTTGATGTTATGTTCCGCGGGTTTTATACCATGTTTGCTCGTTATATAGCCGAGAATCTCCAATTCTTCAAAGCAAATCGGCATTTTTTGTCGTTTAACCTTAAATTAGATTCACGAAAACATCTAAAAACAGCTTCAAGTCTTTTGAGGTGCGTTGGAAAATCCGGGCTATATATGATAACATCATCCAGATAACACAAACAAATTTGCCATCTCAGATTTCCAAGCATATTCTCCATATTTCTCTCAAAGGTAGCAGGCGCGTTACAAAGTCCAAAAGGCATCACGTTGAATTCATATAATCCATGCGCTGTAGTGAAAGCTGTTTTCTCTTTGTCTCTTTCTTCGACTTCAACTTGCCAATATCCAGATCTGAGGTCTATTGCTGAGAAGTGTGTAGATCCTTGGAGAGTATCCATAACTTCGTCTATTCTAGGGATCGGATAGACATCTTTTACTGTCACATTATTCAGTTTTCTGTAGTCCACACAAAATCTGTATTTACCATCTCGCTTCTTGACCAATATTACTGGAAAAGACCAGGGGCTAGAAGATGGCCTAATTATGCCTTCTGTAAGCATCTCGTCAATTTGCTCTTTTATAATATCTCGTTCTTTAGCACTTACCCGGTAAGGCTTGTGTTTAATTGGCTTCGCGTCTTCTGTGTCTATCCGATGTTTTGCCAAATTGGTTCTCCCTAATCTCGATGAAAAAAGATCTCCATACCTTTCTAAAACTTGTTTTAACTCCTTCTGTTCCTTTGGTGAAAGATTTTCGTTTATTTGGAATCTAGGTTCTTCGTTCTTTTCTACCTCTCTTTCTCGACTCACATTTATTTTCGCTGGACTACTTCCAAAAGCCAATGTTTGGTTTTTCATTATTTTTAACGGTCGAGGATACGGATTAGTTATCCAGATGTGTGTTTCCCTATTTATAACATTGATCAAGCTTCTTGCTAGACGAAGTCCATTTGTTTGAAACATTTTGCTGCTCTCCTCGATAATATATTCTCCATCCTCTGTTTCTACCAATGCCTTGATCAATTTCATGGAACATTCCGGTACAATGGAATCCTTGGCACTCTTTATTTTCAACATTTCAAAATTGATTTCGTCATGATTATTCGTCAAATCATATTTTATAGTTTCTTGCTTACAATCTATTTTTGCGTTCATTTTCTTA